AACCATTTATAATGAGATGGAAATCCAAACACAGGCTGCATTCAAAACTCCCAAATAGATAAAAAAATAAATTATCCATATCACATTATAATTAAAATCACATAGGCAAAATTTTAAAAGTCTCAAGACAGAAATATCAGATGACATTTAGAGGTAAGCAAATCAGATTTATTTCTGCCTTCCCAGCAGAAACAAATCATTCAACAAAAATTATGTTCAATTCATTGTACTGTCTTTCCTATTCCCATCCCTCCTCCCTTTCCTTCATTCCCCTGTATCTAATCCAATAAACTTCTCTGCATCCCCTCCCTACACTCCCTTGTTATGAGTTAGCATCCACATATCAGAGAATATTTGGCCTTTGGTTTGAGGGGACTGGCTTAATTCACTTAGCATGATATTCTCCAGTTTTATCCACTTACCAGAAAATGCTGTAATTTCATTTTTCTTTCGTTGTGTGTATGTGTGTGTGTGTGTGTGTGTGAGTGTGTGTGTGTGTGATTTTCTTTATCCATTCATCTTTTGAAGGGCACCTAGTGTAATTTTCTGATTTTATGTATTCTAGGTATCAGCAAAGGAGTGGGACAACTGGGTCAAATTGTGGTTCCATTCCAAGGTTTTTTTGGTGTGTGGGGGGGTGGGGTACCAGGGATTGAACTCAGGGGAAATCGAATACTGAGCTACATCCCCAGCCCTCCTCTGTATTTTATTTAATAGATACAGGGTCTCATTGAATTGCTTAGAACCTCACTTTTTTCTGAGGCTGGCTCTGAACTCGCGATCCTCCTGCCTCAGCCTCCCAAGCCACTGGGATTACAGGCATGCACCACCATGCCCCACCCATTCCAAATTTTCTAAGAAATCTGCATACTGCTTTCACCCTAATGTAAACAGAAATAACAGCTTTAACTCTTTCTCTGTGGAGCAACTGCCCCAGGGACTGTTAGATGCTATCAGATTGTGATGAGGGGGGTGGTTTGACTAATGGGTGATTGACAGCAAATTCTGGGACTGTTTTGGCATCATGACTGCATGCATATCTAGTTTCATACACAGGTTGTATATTGTAGAGAATCATGGCTTACTTTCCTTCTGCATAAATGTAAGAATACATATTTTGAATACAAGGTAAAGCACTTAATTAGGAAAATGATAAGCAAGATGTGTTCAGTTTCTAAGACCAGGTTAGACATTTATAGAAAATTTCATTTAACAACAACTGGATTACCTTTCTTAGCAGTTGCTCATGGAACCTTCTCCATGAGCATATTTTGGGTCATGAAGCAAGTCTTAGCAAATAAAATGTATTTACTCCTTTGCATCTTATCACCCATTCATAATATTATGAAATTGGAAATCAACCAGGAGAAAAATAATAGAAAATTCACAACACATGGAGATTGAACAGTATACTTACAAGTGATGAAGGAACAAAACTTTAAATGAATGGAGAAATTTTAATAATCCTAGAATAGGGCTGGAGTTGTGGCTTAGTGGTAGAGCACTTGCCTGGTATGTGTGAGGCCCTGTGTCTGATCCTCAGCACCACATATAAATAAAGTAAAAACAAAATTCCATTGGCAACTAAGAAATATTTTTAAAAGTCTTATAATAAATAAGAAAATAGATACAAAGAGATACAACCTACCAGACACTCTTAGATAAGAGAAAGTCAGTATTAAAAGGAATATTTAGTAGCTGTGAATATATATATTTTAAAAAATTTAGAAACATCCCAGATAAATAACTTAATAATGCATCTCAATGTTTGAGAAAAACATGAACAAAATAATTGCAAAAGTGGTATAGATAAATAAATGAATCAGATTAGGATCAAACTTAATAAAACAGAAAAAAAATGCAAAGGATCACTGAAACAAAGAATAGGTTCCTGAAAATATCAAAAAGATTGATAAAACCTTAGTCAAAATGGCCAAAAGAGATACAAGCCCCAAATTAATGAAATTAGAGATGAAAAAGGAGATATCACTACAGACATACCTACCACAATTGAATCAAACTATAGAAAACATAAGTAGAACAGTAACAAGAAATGAAATTGAAGCTGTAATAAAACCTCCCCCCCACCAAAAAAAAAAAAAAGAAAATCCCAGAACCAGAGGGATTCTCAGCTGAAATTTACCTGATCTTTGAAGATTTAATGTCAATACTTGTCAAGGTATTCCAGGAAATAGAAAGAGGAGACAATCCCACACTCATTCTAATATGTCAGTATTACATTGACACCAAAACCAGATAAAGACACTTCAAGGAAAACTACAGACCAATATCCCTGATGAACATATACGCAGAAATTCTTAATAAATTATTATCAATTTGTATTCAAATATAAATTAGCAAGGTTGTGCATTATGAACAAGCTGATTTCATTCCAGGAATGCAATGAAGTTTCCATATATATAAATCAGTAATTGTAATTTATAGCATAAATAGAATGAAGGACAAAAATCACATGATAATCTCAACAATTTCAAATAAAGTCTTCAACAAATAACAGCACCCACTCATGTTAAATATAAGAAAACTAGCAATAAAAAACTTAATTCAATATCATAAAGGTTATATGTGACAAAACCAAAGCCAACATCATACTGAATGACAAAACCTGAAAACATTTCCTCTGAAATCAGGTGCAAGGCAAGGATATCTACTCTCACCACTCCTATTCAATGTAGTCCTTCAAGTTGGGCACAGTGGTACACACCCATATCCAAGCAACTCAAGAGGCTGAGACAGGAGGATCTTAAGTTCAAAGCCAGCCTCTGCAACTTAGTGAGGCTCTAAACAGCTTAGTGAGATCCTGTCTCAAAAATAAAAATGACTGGGGATGTTTCTTAGTGGTTGAACACCCCTGAGTTCAACCCCTAGTTCCTAAAAAAGGTTAAATTATCCCTGTTTGCAAATATTATCCTATACTATGAAGAAAGACAGACAGACAGACAGACAGACACACACACACACACACAAAGACTTCTAGAGATGATAGTCACCAGTGTAAGATACAAAATCAGTAGTTTTTCTAGATATGATAATATATCTGATGAAAATTAAATCAGAAAATAATACCATTCACAATAGCCTCAAAGTAATGAAATATCTAGGAATAAACCTCTCTAAGAAAGTCAAAGACCTCTACAAGGAAAATTATAAAACACTGAAAAAAGAAGTAGAAGACACTAGAGAATGGAAAGACCTAACATGTTCTAGGTTAGGCAGAATTATTATTATCATAAGATACACAGATTCAATACAAACCCCATCAAAACACAAATTACATTTTTCACAAAATTAAAAGATAGTCCTGAAATTCATAAGGAAGGATAAAAGACACAGAATATCCAAAACAATTCTGAGCAAAATGAGCAATGATGAAGTCATCACATACCCTCTTTTAAATTATATAGAGAGCTATGTAACAAAAACAGTTTGGCATTGCCATAAAAAAAAACAGACAAATGGACCAACGGAATAGAATAGAAGACACAGAGACAAACTCACAGAGATATAGTCATTTTATCCTTGGCAAAGGTAAAACATATGTTGTAGGAAAAAAAATGGCCTTTTAAGCAGGTGTTGCTAGGAAAACAGCATATCCATATAGAAAGGAATTAAACTACATCCCTATCTCTTACTCTGTACAATACAAGTGAAACAAATACCTAGGAATTAAGCCAGAAACTTTGTAACTGCCAGAAGAAAACATAGGGTCAACACTCCAAGAAATCAGCACAGGCAATAACTTCCTTAATAAAAAGTAAAAGCTTAGAAAATAAAACTAAGAATTAATAAATGGCATGCCATAGAATTACAAAGCTTCCACATAGCAAAGGAAACAAAAGCATGAAGAGGGAGCCTATATAAGAGACAAAACTTTTGGAATATATAAAAACTCAAAAATCTTAACACAAATATAAACAACCCAAGTAAAAAATGTAAACTGAACTAAGAAAACATTTCTGAAAAGAAGAATTAGAAATGGCTAATTATATGAAAAAAAATGTTCAATTTTTTTTCCAAACAGGGAAATGCAAATGAAAAATACACTGAGATTTATCTCCAGTTAGAATGGTAATCATGAAGAACACAAATAATAATAAATGATGGCAAGGGTGTGGGGGAGAAAGGAACACTTACATGCTGTTTTAAATTGGTTCGACCATTATTGAAATTAGTATGGATGTTCTTCAATAAAGTAGGAATGGAACTGTCATGTGACATTCTTATGTCACTCTGTATTTATTCAAAAGAATAAAAGACAGGGGCTGAGGTTGTGATTCACTGATAGAGCACTTGCCAAGCATGTGTGAGGCACTGAGTTTAATTCTCAGCACTGCATATAAATAAATAAAGTCCATTGACAACTAAAAAAAATTATTTTTAAAAAGAAAGAAGTCAGCATACTGTAGTAATGCATGGGATACCTTTGTCTGTCTGTCTCTCTCTCTCTCTCTCTCTCTCTCTCTCTCTCTCTCTCTCTCCCCTGACTGATCACAATATGATCACACTCTTCCACCATGATGTTCAGCCTCATCTCAAGCTCCATGGAATGGATCCAGCCTTCTATGGACTAGGACCTCTGAAACCTTGAACCCTCAAATAAACCTTTCTTCCTATATAGTTGTATTAGCTGGGTCCTTTAGTCACAACACCAAAAAATGCTGAGTAAAACAATAATTTAAGTGCAAAACACACACACACACACACGTGCATGAACACAGCTTTGCTCATATCCTCTGTTGCCTGGATTAGTAATACTATCTCTTAAGAGACTTATTTGAGATGATTTATATATATAT